GAGTTAAATTAACATACGGCACAAGAGTGATGTTTTAGAGGAGCAGGATAAAGTTGCTATAGTGACGTTTTCTTACAAGAGTGTGTTGTAAGTATTTGAGAAGAAACAAAACTGGTATAGAATCAACATAAATGGCTAATGCAAGCATTAGCAGGTCTTCTTGCTTAGGTTTTCATTTCTTTACTGCTAATCATCCCTCGGCAGTAAGAGAGATGATTTTCGTTCTCCATGCTGTGATGTCACAGGTGGTAAGATGAAGAGGGAGAGAGCGGGACACGACAGAGCAAAACCCCAGTCCCCTCGTTTTATTAACACAAGTTCATTCTCTAATGCAATCTCTGCTAATTAAGGTCACCATACCCACATCATAAATAAATATTTCCCCCCACACACAAAGTCTGCTAGCTGTGCCTGAGGCTTGGAAAGCTATCTCTCTTTCTTTCTCTCATTCTTTTTCATACTTCTATTTCAAGGCCAAAAAAAAAAAAAGAATACATCTGTTAATTAGTTCTTTCTCTCTCTCTCTCTCTCTCTCTCGCTCTGTATCAGGTGAGGCAGATGGGAGGAAATTTCCAAGATGTTAAAATTCTCACATGTTGACCACTAAATGACACTTACATAAACTTTAGTGATAATAACATATAACATAGCAACCGTTCAATGATAATGTGCCACTGTCACATACGAGTATTGATCATGACCTATGACCTTGACTTTTAATTTGAATTCCATCAAAAGGGTACATTCACACATTATTATATTTGCAGATTTTGTTTTAGATTGCTTTTAAGTAAAAGGGCCAGTGTGTGAAAACTGTGTGTGTGAACCAGACAAAGCCATGACACAGTAAAAAAAAAAAAAAAAAAGATTTAACTGAGGCTGTGATTTTTTATGAATCTTTCTTTTTTCTACTTAAACATTAATCAGGAGTGTAAAAGTATCAACATGAAATAAAAATGTGTATTTTTGGTAACACTTTATTTCGATAGTCCACTTTAGACATTATATTAACAGTAAGTAACTTTGCAACTACATGTCAACTAGCAGTTAGTAGAGTATTAGTAGACTGTCTGCTTAATATCTTCTAACACTTTCTTTGTCAACATTCTACTAACCCTAAACCTACCCTGTCTACTCTGAGAGTTAGTAGACATGTAGTTGCAAATTAATGAGAATTAGTTGACATGTAGTTGACATGTAGTTACAAAGTTACTTATAGTTAATAGAATGTCTAAAGTGGACTATCGAAATAAAGTGTAACCGTATTTTTCAATACACAGTCTTACTGTGCACAGGTAATGTTTTTTTATTTTATTTTAAGTTTGTCTATATAATCTTTTATCAAAAAGATAAAACTATTCTGGTATGCACTGTAAATCTAATTAAATGTAATCGATTTCCACCCCAATATTAAGTATTCCATTTCAAAACATCAGATTATTGATCTCAAGTACCAATCAAAACTCCACATTCCTCATGTATCCACACCAAACTAACAACTTTGGCTGATACTAACAGCAATGTTGAAAGAACCACAGAATTAAAGTCTTTTCATTTTTTTGCCTCACAAATGGCCTACATATAGTTTAAGTGGACAGTACACTCAAAAAGAAAACCCCCCAAAAAACGCTTATTATTTATTCACCATCACTCACCCGGTTCCAAACCTTTTGCACAAAAAAACATTTTGAAGAATGTTTCAACTGCTTTTGTTCATATAATGAAATTCAATGTGCATAGCAACATTGGAGCCCATTAACTTTCATTTTCAAAGCATATTCTTTTGTGTTCCACAGAAAGAAAGGCATATATGTTTGGAACAACATAATGGATGAACTATCCCTTTATCTCTGCATATTAAATCGGGGTATGAAAAAGCATTCTAACATTAAAAAAATGACATGCTTCACCTTCAAAGCCCATCACACAAGTAAAACACAGCAGTGTAACCCAAGCAGACATGATCTGCTAAAAGCAGCCGGAGTGGAGGATGATCTAAAGTCAGCAGAAGCATTAAATGCATGTAAATATGAGGGGAATAATATGAGATTTTCTAAAGGAAGAGATGCACAGGTCAGTGAGTTACTGTGCGTGAAACAAAGTTTATATCACTAAACTGCTTTCCCCATTGACAGTTGACATGTGTGTGGGATGATGTGTTTGTGTTTTTGTGCGCCAGTTCATGTGTGTGTGTGTGTGTGTGTGTGAGTGTGTGTGTGTGTGTGAGAGTGCGTGTGTGTGTGTGTGTGTGTGTGTGTGTGACAGAGAGACAGAAAGAGAGTGAGACAATAAACGTGTGTCAACAGGTTCACATTAATAACCCACACCTCAGCTGGGCTACAACTCTGCAAATAATTTAATAACCTTTTAAATTGGCAGTTCTTAGTGCAGTGTATTACAGGAATGTAGAACAAAAGACGCTAGAGCCAGACGCTCTTGTAGTCATTTATAGTCTGCAAAGTGAATATGATAAATAGAAAGTATTATTTAAAATGTCCAGAAATCATTAACATTAACCATTAAGTGAATGGTCAGAATGGCTCTCTGAAGAGATAAGGCCTTCCTCAAACTCACATTTACTAGCTTGTATTTCTTACAGGATGAAATCGTTGTTTCATTTCCCGAGATTATTGCTATACAAATAAAATATAATCCATATTCATATTCATATTCATGTCCTCGTTCTCTTGCTATTGATTGCAAGAGAAAGAGAGAGCAAAAGAGAGGGAGATTTTTTACAGCAGTACAGACATTGCATCAGGGTTGATCTGCGACGTGTGACCTCTATTTCATCAGGCTCCTTGACCCCGGCTGGAAACAGTGACTATTGATCGGCTGGAGGAACATACATGAGCTGCTTGGCTGTTCTTTATTCTGAGATCATAACAGTGAGGGAACATTTTATTTGATGAAGTCAGGGAGTGGCACTCTCTTCAGGTCGACTCTGTGTGTGTGATCCTAACCTAGCTATACTTTAGGGACAAATTTGCAGAGAAATGTCCCCGGAATGTAGTTAAATCTGACAAAACTCATTTTGGGGACGTCCTTAAAGGGGAAAGAGGTGGATAAATAATATATATTTATATACACACTATCGTACAAAATTTGAGGGTCTGTAAGATTTTTTTTTTATTATTGTATTTATTTTATTTTTTTAAGAATAGTTTTATTTATCAAGGATGCATTAAACTGATTAAAAGTGATGGCCAAGACTTTCATATTGTTCTAAAAATTCAATTTAATATATATATTTTTTTGATATTCATCAAAGAATCCTAAAGAAAAGCATCACAAAAACAGAAGCAGAATATATATATATATATTAAAATAAAAACCAATATTTTAAATTGCAAATATATATTTAAAAAAAAAAAGTATTTTTACTGTATTTTTTTTATAAAATAAATGCAGACTTGGTGAGCATAAGAGGAAAAAAAAGTACTGTCCTCAACCTTGAGAACGATATATAGATACCATTATTATTTATTATGGAATAACTCTATAGCCGTTTCCCTAATTCAAATACTTACTTACGAGGTGGACAATATGACCACAATCTTTGCTACCAAAATGCGGTAATCCAATCTGAAATTAGTTTTGTCAATATACCAAAACATTTAGAGTTGATACCATTTACATTTTACATTTCCCAAAATTGCCACAAAATGTCTGTGAACTAAATTCGTCAGCCAATAAACAAGAACATTCCAGTAGGTCAGACAAATCATGCTGCTACAAGTCCTTCAAGGCCCCACAGGTCTGTGAAAGTACCCTACCACAAAATGCACAAATACGTCACCATAAAAAACTCTTTCAGAAAAGATTTGAAGGTAATTGCATGTGATAATATGCATATTTTAAGTCAAATTTAAGCACATTAATATTAAATATATTATGGAATCTGATCTTAAAACTTTTCCCATCTATCTAAAAGCACTGAGAACTGCTCTCTCAGACTGGTTACATTATTGATACCATGCTCAAAATTGAGTGCTGAACCCAGTGTTTCAGAGTCAAAAGCAGATTGCTCCTTAAGCTCTTCTTTAGGAAAGCAAGCATCTAGATGCCACTCACAGGCTTCGACGGCAAACAGAATATCTCACATTTTCATGAACAGTGGACTCATGATAAACTATGAAATACTGTACTATATGTTAGGGTGACCATACGTGCCATTTTCCCAGGACCTGGCCAGGATTTCTATATTGCCTAAAATATCTAGGTTACCCTTGTATATAGCAAGGAAAATGTGTGCACTCATACTTGTGTGTGCTAAAGCCTATATAGTGACCGAAACAAGTGTGAGAACACGTCAGGATTTATCTGTTTTACTCAGAAGTGATCCTCTAACACAGGGTTCCTCAAATCTTGCCCTGGAGGTCCAATGCGCTGCAGAGTTTAGTTCCAACCCTGATCAAACTCAGCTACCTGTGATTTTCTAATGATCCTGAAGACATTGATTAGCATGCTCAGGTGTGTTTGATTAGGGTTAGAGCTAAACTCTGCAGGAAAGTGGATCTCGTGGGCCAGATTTGAGGATCCCTGCTCTAACACTTTTGAAAAGTTCAGTTCAGTTCAGTTATATGCCCTTTTGCATTTTTGACATATCAACACCGAACACCAACCTTCAGATAAGCGTCTCTTTCCCATTCAGCCGTTTTACCTCAGTCACCATATTGCTCTTCGATAATGGAAATGAACTGCATCTTTGAAGTCGAGTCACGAGATATATTAAAGAGGGGGGAAAAATGTTAAAGCCATTCCCTGGTGTCATTCCCCCTCTGTGATCCGAATCCATGTTATCAAACACAAATTTGTCATTACAGAATTGAGCTCCACTGCACCATATTCTGCCATTAAATTGCCTTGGCTTGGCGGATGACTTCCTAAAGGCCACCTCGTGCTCTCACTGATAGTGGCCTGCGGTGCCCCAGATAAGAATCATCCGCTCGGGCTGAATGAGATGAGGGAGTTGAGTGAGGGGGTGTTATGTTACTCACCTCCACCAGCTTGTTGGCGTGCTCGCGGAAGACCTGCGCATACTCCTTAACCTCTTTCTCGTTACCGCTCTTGGCCGCCTCTATCAGCACCAGCAGAGGCACGTTGGTCTCCAGGAAAGAGTCAGATATGTGGTCCATAACAGCTTTCCTTAGCTAGGAGAAAAAAAAGATAGAGAGAGAGCAGGGATCAGTTGATGTCCAACATAAACTGTCCAGCACTTGAACTTGTACTTGGACCTTCGACTGTAAGGCATTTACAAGCGATAAACTCCAGGTTTAACACAGTTTCTAATGGAGAGCTTAAGTGTGTTCTGGCGTTAAAAACAGCTAGATGGAGCGCAACGGAATTGAACAGAAGGTGCACTTATAGGTGCATTAGCTCCAATACACCGTCATGTAAACACTCAATACACTTCAGATGCTTCAAGGGGGTCTATAATACCTGGAGAAAGGCACCATTCACATCCATCTAAATGGCAGTTTTCACCTGGAAGTGTGTGTTTTGAAATTTGCCCTTTTCTTTATGGAACTACAGAACTTTTTGAACCAATTACCCGAGTTGTAAATGTCTGATGGCAAATATATCATAATTTTTTTTTAAAAAGCTCTTTTTTTTCCATAAAAGAATACATGACTATTTTTGACACATGGCAATGTTTGGGCATAGCAAGAGAGCAAAAATGCAAATTCTAGAGTACATACAAAGAAGACAGCAGACAATGAAGGAATAGTAAGCAACTTGAGGTGCCTTGCTTAGGGGCACAATGCTAAAAGTTCATGGCTTGCTAATTGCAGTGATCAAGCTAGCAACCTTTGCATAAGCCAGTTTCACAACAACCTAAAATACACAGGCATGCATTATGCCTCGAGGTAAGAGAAAAGCTTCATATATCTTAAACAGGATATCTAATTATTAACAGTATTACCATAAGTGTTCTTATAAAACAGGTTGAAGCTAATCATTGTTATATAATTGCCCATTTTAGTAGCAGAAACACATCATCAGCAACATTCACAGTAATACGCAGAGAAAACATTGGCGGCTATTGTAATGGGGCAGTAGGTAGAGTCCCATGACACATGTCCTCTAATGGATGATGGAAAACATTCCTAACAAGCAATAATTATCATTCAGTGAGGCATGCACATATCTTAACCAATTAAAAACCCTGTGCTAAGCCATGGCCGGCAGACAGTAATGATAAATTATGGCTGAATGCGACGCATAATCCATCACTGGCAAGAAACTTGGCCAGTCAGATCTTGAGACTTGAGATGCCCTTAAAAGGGACATGCCATAGAAAACAGGATTTTCTTTTTCTCAGTTCAAAAATCCTAATAAATCGGCAAAAATGAAAGCTGTGTGGTTATGAGGTTACATTCACACATCAGTAATCATCATCTGAACTTCTGAAATGGGATATTCATATGTGTTTGTAAAACGGCATATTTGTGCACATTTAAAAAATGCAGTAGCAAACAGTCAGATTAAAAATTTCACCAAATTATTGGTAGAAGAAAATTATGTTTTTGTTGCAAGAAAACTTGGCTAAGTCAATAACTGCTGCAAAAGTGTAAAAAACAGCCCCTCTCGTTGGCATGTATAAGGAAGTTTAAGGCCATGCTGGGCTGTGGAACAGGTCAGGAAACCAGAGCCAAGCATGAGGACGTCATATTTTCAATCAATGTGCAGCACTCGGTTGCGGAGTTCTTGGCCACCTGAGCATGAAATTCAGAAAACAGAGCACACTCCATAGGTAATGATCCTTCTCCCCATGTGTCGATGATTTAATTGAAATGTTTTAATGAACCCTGGCACTCTGTCTCTAATAACCTCTGGTAAAGAATGTGTGCTTGTCTGCTTAATGGTTTGGGTGCAACTCCAGGGAAAATGAAATAAAAAAATAGTGACCAAAATGTATCATTTTTCTGCTTATACTGATTAAAAAAAACTAGAGATGTACTAGAGTGTACTTGAGTCATGCTCTACGTAAAAAATGAACTACATAAAAAAAGGACAGTACCGTACTAGTATTTGAATACATTAATAATCTTAAACTGGGACTCAGTCTGACGGCATTTCATTTCCCCCACCCCTTCTTAAATTTTTTTTTTTTCAGTTCTCACGGAGCTTGAGGGCAAGTGATCTGTCTCTGCTTTTCTTTTTTCTACTTTTTATTAAGATTATTTAAGCCATAATTATTTTCCTTCGACATCAACCATGGCATTTTAGGGTCAGCTCCGTTTGCATCTTATCATCATTATGCCAGTGAGATTAATTTCTGTTTACTGGGAAAATCTAATTTTCAGGTTGCAGACCTTTAAACCTTTATTTAATATACTGCATGCTACAAATGTGTCAACATGTTAAATCAAACATGTTATTCCCTCACTTGAAAAGCTTGTTAAATGTTCCAATAGCATAGCTAGCACTGACGAGACAACAAGTATAGCCCACAGTGAGGCCCCTCATGTCTAATGTCTTTTTCAAAGAGGGAATTGAAGTTATAGTCATGTAATCTCAGGACTAAATTGGAAAAAATAGCTTGACGAATGGAGTGCTCCGCCGACTCCTCGCAGACTACAAAAACAGCAAGCCAAAAATTGGAAACACTGAGGAGAGGAAGTGCTTTGCTTTAAATTGCTCTGAGGGACTGAAAAATGGAAATCTTGTGATCCTACCAGTCATGTTCCCCTTTCTGTCTTTCTGCCTCTTTTCCCAATTTCTCCCTAATCCTTTGTTCTCTTCATCCATATGGCACTGAAGCGCCCGTAAAAAATCAGCATAGCAAACTCAATCAAGTCAAATTCAGACAGAAACAAAGACAAAATAAGGAAGAAAGCGTGCACTTAGCCAAGTCAGAAGATACATCTTTTAATGTTGCAAATGGGGGGAGATCTTAAGAGATGAGATTAGCTTGTGTTTGCTAACTTCGCTTACAAACAAGAAAGTGTATTTTTAAGGATTAACCACCTGCTAAAACGTGAAAAACAAATGCCACCGAGAAAGAAAGTCAAATTGGCAATGAAATTCATTCAGTGCTCTTCTGTAATTTACTCAAGTCTATAGCTCAGAACAAAGCTGACAGATGTTTTATTTCTTAATCTGAGAAAACAAGAGCAGTTCATGACGCTGATTTACTCCCACATTCTCCACCAATTTACTTTTTTTTTTAATTAATTTCTGGAAAACAAACTTGGTATTGGTTTTATTCCTAGTTTACAACTGAGAGACTGTAGCATTTAAATTTTTTAACAATCATGGAAAACAAATGAACATGGCAAAATACAATTATCAGTGGCTTCAACTTTGTCAGTCTTAGGACTTGGATTCTCTGCAGATAGCGGAAGATGCTTTGGGTCAATAACTTGATGTTTCTTATTAAAATGTCAAGGGCAATCACAGGATAAGCATGCTTCTGTACCTGGTTAGCACAAAAGGCAGTCAATACAAAACAGAATTAAGTAACAGCACTGATTTAGAATTAACAATGACATCTGGAGAGGAAAGGAGGTGGAGGGACAGAAACAGAGTGAGTGGAGATGTGCTGTTTGATCTTCCTGTCATGTCTGTAAATGAGTCTGATAGCAAAGCTCCCTCCCTTTCAATGATCACCGCAGAGGTCTTAGGGTAGGGTAGAAGAAGACAGAGAAATGATTTTTTTGCTCTGGAGAGTTGGCATTTAGGTTAAAGCTTTAGCATTGATTTGAATGTTTTTGCTCCTGGCCAAACTAAAAGATACATCTATGCGTGCCGTCTCTGGAAGCCTTTTTGATGAATAATTTTATAAACGATATGATGAATTTAGGAAACAAATGTGATTGTTTCTTGCCATTGCAGGATTTTGGGACACTAAAAATGGGCCACTTTATTTAATAAATAAAATAATAATAATAGGTCCCGCTTTATATTAAGTGTCCCTAATACCTGTGTACTTACACAGTAACTACATGTGTACGTAGTATGTAACCACAGTGTAAGTACACATTGGTACATAGTATCTACAGCTGTAATTTTTCTGTAACTACACACATGTAACAACCCTCAAGATGGTTTGTGTAAGTACAAATATGTAACAGGACATTGGTAACAACACTTTTTTTTCACTTCACTTTCACAGTACTCGTGTAACAGGAATTATATAACTACATTTTGTAACAACAATATGTATAAGAGTAATTGGAACCATTTGATCCAGGGGGTGGAGATGGGTAGGTTTATGGATATGTAAAGTGGGAGGAGTTGGATCTCGAATTGGAGTTGGTGCACCACTGTAATACCAGTGTACTTACATGTTAACTCCTCAGGAACTGTCTACTTAACATAAAGTGTAACATTCTGGACACCAACCACAATTTATATGTAAAGCCTTACTTACTGGCCACTGCTGTGTAACATCAGAGTAATTACATGATAGATCTAATATAAAGTGTAACACTTTCTTTACCAAAAAGTGCTGTTAGTCCTGTTACACATTTGTACTTACACATACCATTCAGCGGGTTGTTACATATGTGTAGTTCCAAACATTAGAGCTGTAGATACTATGTACCAATGTGTACTTAAACTGTGGTTACATACTATGTACACATCTAGTTACTATGTAAGTACACAGGTATTAGGGACACTTAATATAAAGTGGGACCAAATAACCAAATAAATCATTTATTTAGTTCATTATTTATTTATGTTTATTGAATGTTTTCTACTTTTTTAAAATGGACTTGAAATATAGTATCACCACTAAACTTCAACAGACTGTAGAGCAAGCATTGACACAATTCAGCTATGAAACAAAGCACAACACTTTATGCAAAACAATAATCGATGCTTGACATCAACTGAAGGTTTTAAATTTCTATAGCTCATTGAAAGTGTATATGCAATACAAGTTACAATGTATTATAAGAAAGGCAACTCTAATGGGAGCACTGACTCTAAATAAAAAGCAGTTCTTTACATAACACATTCCAAATAACAGTACTCACATAACAGATCTCCATCTCTCCATCTCCATCTCCAACTCCATCTCTCATAGAGAATCACATAACACTTGAGTCAATGCACACATCTATGAGCGGATGCTGCGGACGCTGTGGCAGTATGACAATTGACAATTTCTTGAAATAGAAATAAGAAAGCAGAGAAGACA